AACCCCTGATTTAAGACCTGGCTATGACTAACTGATTCTCTCTCTATATATGTATAAAACAAACATGCACACTCTTTCTGTACTGGGTCTTGAGATGCGGTCACCTTTATCCAAATGCGTGCAAATGCACATTATATTGTAGCATCGTAAGGTACATTGCCTGTTGTGTTTTCCCTATTTTAACAATGCCCTTCTGTGCAAATCTCGCCTACGTACACCGCACCCTCTCTTTATCAGCACCGCGTGTGTTATCATACAGAGAGCTTTGACAAAGACACCCAGTGTCAAATGAATAAACAGCTCTTTGTGTATACCAACCAGTTGACTGCCTTGTGAGCTGCGTCGTGTCAACGCGTGTGTCAGCAGTGGGGAAAGGGCTGCCGCCCTGGTGAGACGGTCAGCAGACTGGACACTGGTCGCCGATTCGATTCGATCGAACCGGGTACGGCGGCTGCAACAAATGAGCGCGTGGTTTTTTAAACATCACCCTCACCACCACCACCAACCGGTGATAGGGCACCCGGCACCTCCGATTAATTAGCAGGGTTGGCAACGTGCGGTGCGAAATAAGTTCAGCGTGGCGTACATACGCAGCCAGTAACCCGTCCCGCATCATCCACTGACGGCGGCTCTACAGATGAGCGGGTCAGATGAGAGAGAGAGCGTTGAATTATTTACGTGAATGGGAGTCGCGCTCTAGTGAGTTTCCCTCGTTGGTGAACATCAACGTGGAGTTCAGAGACCCCTGGGGCAGGGCCGCAAGGGGGGTGCGGGGCCCCGGGGCAAATCTTGCCGTGTGGACCCCCCGTGCCCACCGACCCCACCGACGACTTCAAACTAAACCGGACATTGATAATAAAGGTTCTGTGGGTGAGATCGCGTAAGCATAAATGTGTCGTAACCCTCCAACACCCGACACAGCCAATTAGTAAGGGATTCGTTACGTAGAACAAAACGCCAAATTAGTTAAAACTTCAGCCCACGGAGAGTAAATCCACAACATTTACAATTTGAGTAGTACGACGTTTCGCTGGTAATTACATCCAGAATCATCGGACGAATTGCCAAAATAGTGAAGAATATTGGTCGCGAAAGCCAACGTGTTAAACCGGACATTTTACATTTTACACTGTGACGTCGAAGCGCCCCCCCCCCAAAACACGGGGCCCGGGTCGGTCGCCTCGATTCGTCGTGCCCTAGGGACGGCTCTGTCCACTGGGGGCACGGACTCCGTGCGGCGTTGAAGTAGAATCGTCGGCTCGGCCGGATTGGTTCTCGCCTCTCCCTCCCTCGTGCTGGGAAAATTGACGTTTGGCTCCTAGTTTGATGACTACGTACGTTGAACTTCCTTTGCACCGTACGTAGCTAGCCGTGTTAATCGGAGGTGCGTAGGTGGGTGGAGTACTGCTTTTAAAGGACAGAATTGTGAGATGAGCGGTAATCTAAGCCAGCTATTCCGACTTTACGTCCCTGAGCGCTGTTGTATTTTCCTCTCGTATGTGCCTTGATGCTTAATAATAATTGATAAGTCAAACCCAGCCTCCAGATTCAAGACAACCGCGGATGAAAGTATACATACTGGCTTCCATCAGCAGAAACCTCCCCCTACCCTCCACTGTCTCCTAATCCCTACACCTCAGACCCCCCCTCCCGTCCGAAGAAGATGTAAAACTCGCAAAATAACAGGGGCTCATATTCTTGGTTCTTTCGGTAAAATCACGTAGAAGGGAAACAATAAAATAATAAAAATATAAAACATTATTTTATTGTTTCCCTTCTGCGTGACTTTACCGAAAGAACCAAGAATATGAATCCCTGCAGTCACGAAAGCTTTAAATCAAAATTTAACAGGTGCTCATCTAGAAAGCAATGGCTCACGTCCCTTCCAGCCGCTCAATCCATCCCTACCCCCAACAAACTCAACATTACTTCCCTGAATGCGAACGGCCTCAATAACCCGGTCAAGAGACAGAGGGAGGAGGGACTGCCTCTCTACAGGTTATTTCAGGCGACCCACCTCTCCCATCTGGAATCGGGACAAAATGTGGGCGGCATTGGGGGGGTTTCCACTCCACGCACAAAGCCTCCAACGGTGGAGGGGTGGCGATACTAGTGCACAGGAGGGTCAGGTTCACGCGCGTCTCCCAACGCTCAGATCTCATGGGCCGATACATCCTGAATGTTCACAAACCCCACGACCAGGTCAACTCCCGCTTGCTGACAACACATCACTACACTCTTGCAACAGAATTACGGCATTGCAGGCGGTGACTGGAATGTTGCGCAAAAAAGCAGGGCTGGGTAAATCCCACCACAGCAAGACGGGCACCCTGAACTCTAAAAGAGACCTCACATGGAATTAAAATCCCAGCCTTCATCAACTGCAGCCTAAACTGCTGTACGTTCTTGTCACCACACAGCACTCGGAAGCAAGTAATACTTTCTTTAGTCACTAAAACATTTACTTTTCCACCGAAGGGATAGGGCGACTAGTTAGCACTGTTTATTTTGCTGTCTTCCAGCAAATTAAATATATAATTGTCCTATCCACATATGTCCATCATTTTTGGGAATGGCATTTCCCCTAACTCTTAAAGAGGACTCCGTTGTCCGTTAATAAAGGCATTCAATACTCTTAGCTCAAGCCTCTTTTACAGCTGTATAAACCCAAGTGACCCACTGAAACATTTTAATATTAAACCAATGGCACTTAAGGAGATATATAACGCTAAGTAAAATGAACATATTCAACCAGTAAAAAAAAAAACCTTGAGTTAGCCTCGACGTTTGGTCATGAAGTCAACACATAAGAATGCGAATCTTATGTAAAAGGTTACGTTGCTAATTATTTGTTTAAAAATAGAAACGATAATTTCTAACTTTGAAAGTACCTCTTTAAGAGCCAGTTTAAATATCGTGCCACATTTGCCAATACAGTACATGAAATAGTTTCTAACCATATGGCGCTTACTTTTAAGGATGCTTCCGCTCATAGTTGAATGTTTAATCAACAAAGTAAACAGGATGATAGATTATACCAGATTCTTTCTGAGTAAACCCCTTACACTCCATTGCAACAGTTTAACTGCTCCTTAAGAATTATTTTTCTTATTGCATTCAATGAATTAAGTATAAAATCAATTATGTTTGTTGAACTGAATCCTCCTTAAGGCAACGCCCTTCATCACAATTAGCTATGATCAATCCACTGCCGAACGCAGGCAAATGTAAAAAGTAAGTATTATTTATAAAAACGTTTTTAAAAACACGCTTTAATGAAATGTACCGTACTCGTAATGTAAGAACTCCACAACTCCAGGAAGTGGCCCCGAAGCTTGCCACAACGTAAGGGGACCGTGGCCAGTTACAGCCAACGTCAGTTCAGCGTGGACAATTAGACCCAGGCCGAAACATAACATATAAAAAATAATGTTAATAAATATATTTTTTAATGATAGAATATAGTATTGTCATCAGTATGACATAAATATACCAAGTTTGCAGTCGATACCACATTGGGAAGTGGGTTAAAATTGAGTTACAAGATTTGAGGATACAACAACAACAGAGTGAGTTAAATGAAAGCGTGTAATAATACAAACTCCTTAATAGCCACTTCTGGCATAGCCCCTTTTGCAAGTATTGTGACCATAAGGTGCTAACTCTTAAGGATGCTTTTCCTGTTTTATATTAAATCAATAAAGTGTACAACTTTATTAGAAATTATGAGCTTCTTTGTGATCCAGCCCTAGCTTTGTACCCCGTAGCCAACATTTAAATACTATTGAGGCTGTGTTTAGCATTAAATGACATGTATTTAATAATAAAAATAAAAATATCTACATAAGTTGAGACATTCCCAGGATACAGCATCCCCCCACACCCTGTATATTAAAACAGGCATTGGGGTGCGTCTTATTATCCGGTAGGTGTGTGTATTCATGATTTAAAGTGCCGCGCTGGGAGATCGAATGTAAGTCCAGTGGTGGTGGTGAACATCAACAACACCGCACCCCACTTAGTTTCTCACTTAAAAAGGAGAGAAGCGTTACATTCGTTTTACAAATGCAAAAATAGGACGTCTGTCAAAATAAAGAGCTTCATAGCTCATCGGATTCCTCCAGTCTATAATAAAAGATTCTGGTCAAAAGATTTCTTAATTTATGAACCAGCCCCATTGCCAATATTTAAATACTCTTAAGGATGCTTTGTGTTGCTGCTTCAAATGGTATCGCTTCAACCTAAATCTGGCTGCCGCCTGATTAAGTTAGTTGTAATTACTGGCGAAACGTTGGACTCAGATTGTAAATGTTGTGGCTTGGCTCTCCAACACACCGGTGTGCTGTACTAGTAACGAATTGTTCTGTTTACGTGTCAAACCTTACTCATTGGCTGTGTCGGGTGTTGGCGGGTTTAACGACACTTGTATATATTAACGCGATATAACAAAAAAAAAACCCTGTCTTATGGGCATTTACGCGATGCAACCCAAAAAACCTGTATTATGGACATTTATATATTTAAGCAATTTAACCCAAAAATCCTGTATTATGGACAATTATATATTTACGCGATATAACAAAAAAACCCTATGTTATGGATATTTATATATTTAAGCAATCTAACCCCCCAAAAAACATGTATCATGGATTTTGATTTAAAGCTTTCGTGACTGCAGTAATTCATATTCTTAGCTCTTTCGGTAAAGGCACGTTATTATTTTATTGTTCCCCTTCAACGTGACTTTACCGAAAGAGCTAAGAATATGTATTATGGACATTTATATATTTATGCAATATAACCCAAAAAAAACCTGTATTATGGATATTTATATATTTAAGCAATCTAACCCCAAAAAAGCCTGTATTATGGACATTTATATATTTATGCAATCTAACCCCCCCAAAAAAACCCTGTGGTATGGATGATTGGGGGGTTTTTTCCTCTTCGATCATCCTTAAGAGCACCCAGCTCCTCCCACCCCCCCCCCACCCCCCACGTACTTAAGGCAACTGGGGAAGTCCAAACGCCCCCCCACCCGCTCCGAAAATAACTGTGCTCTGCCTACCACGCAACCCTGCTGCCTGCTGCAACCTCCAGCAGCAAGCAACGCCGTCGACGAGACGCAAAAACCGCTTCACCACTCAAACGATTTAACAAAAAACACACGCGCGCCGCGGACAGGTGAGAGAGACGGAGAGAGTCGGTCGGTATTTTTTTTGTTCGTTAAATTATTTTCGCTTCGTTCGGCTGCCGGCGTTGGGGTATTTGTTGTTGTTGTCGTTGCTGCTGCTGCTGTGTTGAGAATTTTAGGAAGAAGCTGCGCTCGCACAGAAACGCAAGATTTGACAATAGGTGGCGGCGAGGCCTAGCGCGGGACCCCGTAGGTGCAGTGCGAAGCGGTGTAGACTAGTAAGGGCGGCCGGGGTTCGGTGGGGGTTTCCCCGCAGAGAGGGATCAGGCCGCACGCCCCCGTCCCTCGAAGTGGGTTTTTTTTCTTTCTCTCTCTTTGACGAAAATATACGTTATTGCGTTGAGCTACACGCGTACGTGTTTTGTAAACGGCGCTTATGGATGTTGTGTAAGCTTGTCGGTTTGTAAAACCTTCGAGTTGTAATCGCGTGAAGTTATAATATGCGACAGTTGTCTGGCCGTGATTCGGGGTGGGTGTTTTTGTTTAGGTTAATGCGCGGTTGTCGAGTTGCGTTTATTGATTGCGTACGCCGTCGAGTGTCAAAAAATGAACACTTACAATCGTCACCCTTGTCGTGTACGTGTCCTTTTATATTCGCGCTATCGTTGATGTAAACGCATGTTGCTTATAATTTATCCACGGCGCGTTGTCGATGTTGTGCCTTGTGTTGTGCCGTCTGTAACACGTTTCACGAGTAATTGGACGCTGCCGGTCTTCTGGCTGTGATTAAGGTGTTTTTGTTGTTGTTGTTGCTTGCTGGATGTGGTCGTGAGTGTATTTATTTTGTTGTTAAAACGAGGAAAACTGCCGCAACCCAAGCGAAAGGTAATTTAAGTCGATTGTAACTGCATTCGTCTTCTGTGTGTGTGTGGGGGTTTCGGCAAAAGCACGCGTTGCTTATCAATGTGCTTGCTGTCTGCTTTGGAAGCTCACTTTGCCGGCTTCCGATCGGATTTAGGGTCGCACTACTTTGTCTACTGATTACCCAAAGGGATTGTATCCAGTGTGTGTTAAGTGTTTTAAGCGTGAGACGTGAAACATTCCCTTTACGGGGAATGAGACTTCCCTCAACTAGTCATCATACGGACTTGAATTGTTGGTAGCACAAATGAGACGACACTGTAATTGTTTGTTTTATAAACCTTCTATTCCTAACCAAATACTCGACTGTAGTTGTGGCAAGTTTCAGCTTCCTCGCACTTTGTAAAACACGGTTATATGTGCAATATACCACGTAATAATCTGACTGCAACCACATCTGTGTGTGTGTGTGTTTTGTTGCCTTGTTATTTTTCCCATGTCCAACATCCACACCTGAATATACCAAACCGCTTTCTGGAAGGCGCTGCTCTTTAATAATATGATTTGTTTTTACTAAAGCCTTTGACCATATCACCTGGAATGCGGCTAATCTCATCAGAAGCTGAAGCAGGGGCAGAGCCGGGACGGCGAAAGAGAGTCCAGTAAAATGCATTGTTGTACTGTACCTCCCATGTTCCCTTCACCTATGCTCCCCAATTTCACCAACCCGCACTGACCAGTGTGGTGAAGCATGGTCCAGTAATCCCAAAGTACCATACCATATGGGGGGAGACATTCATCAGTGGAGCTGTACACGTTATGAGTGAAGTGTTTTACAATGACACTTACGCATGCGCTCACAAACTTTGGTGTTTTTGCGTTATATTCACAGGGGAGTTTGTGAGATTTGCTTACATTTAGTTAAAAGGGTCCATTGCAAAATGCGCTTCGTTAGGTATTGTTATGTCTGAAACAATGCCGATGTTTGGGAATGGTAACCTTGAGTTCACATCCTTAGAATTGTTTTATTTTTTGTTACAGTTTCAGAGTTGGGCGTGATTATATCACCGTACTTTTGTACTGCATTGCACAAGCGATGAAACTATTTTTAACGGGTAATCGCAGACGTATGGTGAAAATAGTCAATAGTACGTTCATGATAAGTGCTTGATAATATTCCTATGACTAAATCTCCCAGAATACCTCCGATTTCGTCAGATCTAGCTAAGCATGTTTGGGTCTGGATGAGCGTTATACATTGCGGGGCTATGTTATAGGCAGCGCAGCATGATCCATTGTTGTACTCTACTTCTATGCTCTCACATTCTATTCTTCTCACTTTCATCAATTTACAGGCGTGGAGAGGCCCTCCCATCTGCCAGTGGTTTGACATAGGGCAGCACGTGTACACACACTGTTGCTCTGCATTGTAATACTATCAATAATAATAATAAGAGCCACACCCATGCCGTGTCAGACTTGATGTAATGTTCATTGTTATGTTTTTCCTTCTCACAGAGGACAACAACATGGGCACTCCGCAGAAGTTTGTGTCAAATATAGAAGAAGCAATGCTGTTGGAAATATTGAAGAAGAAGCTGGCATTTCTGTCAGGTAATTTCTGTCGCCTTGTTTATGTATTCTGTCGTGGTTTTGTTACAAACGCGTTAAAGAGGAAGTGGCCGTACATCCCGATGCAGGACCCTCTTTAAAAATGTTTTGAGACTCGACGAGGTCTCTATTATACAGCATTACAGCAGATTCTGTTGTATTTAATGTACATGGATGTTTGTTATATATGCAATAAAACGTGTTAATGCATTGCATGAATATGGGAGTGAAGCGGCGTATAATAAATAGACTAAAGTTAAAAAGATGATACGTGGGAAACATTTTGATATTTGAATTGGATTTCTGCAGGATGAATAAAGATTCTGATTCTGGGTATGAAATACAATATGAATGTATGCAGTGTTGAAATGCATTTGTATTCTGTCATTCATGTGTATTTACCAGTTCTGTTTTACTTGAATTATCGTTTAAACCTACATTCTTCCAACTATCCACCCACTAAGCTACTACATTCGTGCCATATAAGAGCTTGTAGCTCCGAGTGGGTGCATTGGGTTTGTTTGGTGAATTGTTGGTATTTGTGGGACACTTTTGAGGGTAGCATGTCCAAAGCAATTTATTGTTTACAGTCTCTGGTTCATCCCAGTTTCTCTGCTTGTTTGTGCTTGTCATTTTTTAGCCCGCTTTGACGTGACAAATCGTGTTTCTTTACGATCGTCACCGGGGGAGTCCCACATGACCTTCAGATTGCTGAGTTTGACCCTGCTTCTCAATGGATGAGCCGGGTGGAAAGAAAAAAAACACTGCCTCAGCTTTTTTTACAGGACGAATATGCAAATGCAAAGATGTGCTTCGAAATACATTAATGCTTCACCAGAACTGGAATGAACTGGCAGTGTAGCCAAGATAAATGCCCCAATAAGTTGAAACAGAGCTGCAGGCCTAAGCAAGGAATGTCATTGTTATATATATATAAAAAAAACGCCACTTTTTAATTTTCTTGCTGTGGTTTTCACACCTGATGATGATCGCTTGTGTTGCAGTCGAAACGTGAGAATTTTATTGTTTTATATTTTTATTATTTTATATTTTTATTTTATTGTTTCCCTTCTACGTGACTTTACCAAAAGAACCAAGAATATGTCATTGTTACTATTAAGCTTTCAGCCAGTGACGAGATGGATTCTAGAAATGGGCAGATTGTGAAATCGGATTAGGTGAATGTGATTTGGGGTGGATGGTGCAGGGGCTGTGTTCATTGCCAAGCAGCTGGGAGTGGGGGGGGGTTAGCCAGAGGGAGAATTAGGCTGAAGCCAGAATACTTGAGTTTCATCCAAACAACCGGACCCCTGACCCCGCTGGCTTCTCAGCATTTGAGAATTCCATAACGCGTCTATTATTTCACTGTTTGAATGCCACAACGTTAGAATGCAATTTTGAGTTGCGGTTGAGACTGTGGCCCATGAAACCCACATCTGTTTTCACAACAATGTTCAAATGCTATAGCCCCGCTAGAAATATATTTTTTTATAACACTTCATAAAATTATTCACGCTTTATTATATGCAGGAAATGGTGAACATATCAATATTGCATTGTTGAAACACTCTTTTGCATCGTAAATAAAAAGGCTACCTGTTAATTTGGTCATAGGTCATGAAAGGGAAACGAAACAAAACACAAAAAACAGCTCTTGTAGATGCACACCTAGGCTGTGTATTTGGGTATACCAACCCACACTCACCAGCATGGTGAAGTATGGTGAAATAACTTCCACAACCTGCATAGTGTGGGGGGGGGGGGGGGGTCCCTCGTCTCGCAGTAGATTGACAAACGCCATACGTGTGCATTTTTCAATAGTTAAGTGTACAATGTAGATGTTTTTTTTGTACATGAATTTGCACTGGAGAGAGGAAAAACACCCAAAATTCCCACCAAAGAAGGCTTTCACAAAGTTCACACAGTTTTTGTTGCCGTAATCATGACTTGTTCATGTATCATCAACCACAAAACTCAAGTCGGGCATATCGTGCGGCGCAGTCTAGCCACTTAAACGCACTGTTGGCCGAAACAAAAATAAAACCATTAAAACAAACTTTGGTGGTGGGGGGGGTAAATCCAAACAAACTTTATCGGTGACATGAGTAATAACTCAATGAACACCAGGAACTTAAATAGTGCTTCCCACCCCTAGAGTTAGTAAAAAAACCCATACACACGCTCGTAGCTTGCCCACAGCATTACCCATTTGTCTTTGGATAATTTGAATTTGCAGTCGCTGACTCACACCTGTGTTTACACATTGAGTGACCCCTTTCAAACAAGGTGTCTATTGTAAGAGGTGGAACCAATTATGGTCCTAACGTATGCAGTCGCCCTGCCCTTTTGTGCACTGTGATTGCATATATACGGCCATTTTGTCAATCCACTTCTAGATGACGGGCCTCTCCACGGCATGAGGGTCTTTTTATCCATACTTCACCACGATGGTCAGTGCTGGGTTGGTGTAGACGTGCAGAACGTGAATGGATTTGGCTGCACCGTGCTCTGCTATGCTACACACACACAGTGCTGCACCCTATAATGTGCTGCTGTGCATGGTGGGACACCCTTCCAAGCACTATCCTGGCTTAGCGATGCCTCCCATCCAAGATATGATGAGGTTGGGCACATTCTGGGTGATTTTGGTCAGAAGTGTACAGTAATATGAAGCGAGTTCGTTTACTGCTAATTTAGTGTGGAGTACCATTCATCTCTATTGGAGGCCCTGAGCCAGAGTTCAAAATTCCACATTCCTATGATGGGAAAAGGCTTTTCCATAGGATAACCAGTTAACATTTTTACGATAAATATTGTATATCAATTCGATGCAATCATTTTATCCAAAACACTTATAACAGCTAGACCGTCTCCGCCGTGGATTATAGATGATACATTTTGATGAATATATAATTTTACATGAATTCTTTAGGCAAAATGTGGTGCACATCTCAAGATGCTCTCCAGAAAAGTGAAAGTGCGTATATTTATTTTATAGTGGCAGTCATGCGTGGGGCAGAGAAAAAAGAGGAGACTCTTGAGCCTGGACTTGGGCAGGGGGAAGGGATCAGAGGGAAGAAGTAGGAGAGCAATGTGAGGGGGGGGTAGAGTCGGATGCGAGGGGAGAGGAAGGAGAAGTGCATGGTGGGGGGAGTAGAGCGAGATGAGAGAGAAGCGTGCACGGAGCGGGAGTCAGAATTATGTTTAATTAATGATCATCTTTATTTAGACCGGAGGAATCCAATGAGCTATGAGGCTTTTTTTCACAAATGTCTAGGGGTGAGATTTAGATGCGAGAGTTAGTGGAGTGGCTGGAGAAGAGTAGAGTTAGATGAGAGCATGGACAGATGGGTAAGGTTGAGTCTGTGGAACCTCTGAAAAATGGTGAGTGTGATCTTCAAAGTGGTCTGCGGTTGGGTTGGGTTGGAAGATAGTGAAAGCATTTGAGGTAAATGTGCGATGCGCTGTCATTTACCGGTGCAGGTGAGAAGTCCGGCAGCAACAGTATAAATTTAGGACGCGTAATAGAAGTACACGGAGTCCCTTCTCTGTCTCACACCGTCGCCATCTCTGTCGCCTGTAGGGGGCAAAGATCGCCGCTCCGGCCTCATCCTGACGATTCCTCTCAACTCGGATCAGAACAACATCGACGAGATCAACGTGACGCTCAACTATCTCCTCAGTATTCCCAGGCAAGTCGGCCCTCCTCCCCGCATGCCCTGTCCTCCCCCCCCCAAAACCCAGGAGCGACATTCATCAGCCCAGGCGCCACCGTGAAGCTCGGATATCAAACCCTTCAGTTGGCCGTTTGCCCGCGAGCAACTTTGTTTGCACTCTATCGCTACAGATCCTGAAAAAACAATTGGGGGAGACAAAAAAATGATCTCGTGGGATGGCATTTCACACCGCACCAAAGCCGAGTGTGTTGATTTTAATGCACTGAGCATATGTGGTGTTATAGCTGCGGAGACGGAGTGTCTGCCGCTTGTTTTGAAGGACGTTTAGCCCAGAGGTGTGTTACCCACACTTTACTCGTAACCTGCAATGTATGTAGCAGTACATTATTACGGATTAGTAATGTGAATTAAATCAAACTTAACGTGTCATCGCTCATCATTCGTTGATTATAATTATGTTCTGCTATGTTAAACGAGTGTACATAATCACCCTCTGTGTAATCCTTCTTGGCCGGTTTGACAGCTCTTGAGGTTTTCATTTGGACAGGTGAAAGGTTATGGTCTCTGAGTCATTTGTTTGCGTTTGCCCTTAAGCTACAATGACCTCCGACCTCATCACCTGCCCGTAAAACTTTTTTCAGAAAACGTTTGCTCACCCCAGGGCTTTGGCAAGGTGGCCAGGACTTGACAGTACAGCAAGTAGAGTGAATTAATCCACGCAGAGCATTGTGTGATGCCCCCTGTGTGTTTGTGTATTTCCGATGAGTGATCCAATTTCATCCCACAAGTCACATTAATGGAACGTGCCAAACATCCTTAGGCAGGACCGCCACAAACAGGTCCTAAAACTCGGCGAGACTTTGCCGTGTGAATCAAGTGCATCATTAATATTACATTGCACATTGTATAAAAACTCCTAACAGTACAATGCCAACAGCAGCCCTAATGTGTTTGTTGCGTGTGCTCCGCATTATGCTAAAGTCGCTTGGCAGCGGCACCGGCAATTTAAATTGCCATTGAAGACATCATAATAGTTCCCTGTGACGATAAGTCACGCGACGCCCGTTGCTAAGTTGCTTCTTAAAGCAAAAACATTCTCCAAAGAGCCACAAATCTACGTGGTTATCACGTCATTAATTGACACCATTCATTTACCAGACTGGTTGTTGCTTTAACTTGATTTGAAGCTTTCGTGACTGCAGGAATTACTCTTTGGTTCTTTCGGTAAAGTCACGTAGAAAGAAAAAAATACATATTGGAGTACGACGTTTCGATTGCAACACAAGCAACCGTCATCAGGTAGAACTAAATTTGAGAGACACAAAACACAGACACTGAGACACATAGACAGACACACAAGCAGAGAGAGACAACAACAGACAGTGTGACATCCTTTGTGCATTGGACATCAAAGACACCGTTACATCATAAATTGAAAATTTGAAGCGCATTCTGAAACGAATTGATTTAAAACTGTTTTTTGTATTTAGTTGTCCTTCCCCCACACCTCCGATTAACACGGTTGGTTACGTACAGTGTGAAAGAAGTTCCATATACATACATGAATGCTGATAATAATTTGGAGGACGGTGTTCGGCATTGCAGTGAGAAGTGCAAGTCCCGTGGCTTCACCGTGATTGTCGATGGGCGGAAGGCTGCGTGGAATCTGGTGAAGACGGTGGTGCTGACGTTACAGGTGACTTTTTTTACCTTTCCTATTCTCGCACCTCCTGTATCTCGTAGACCAGTGGTTCTCAACCAGGGGCGGGGGGAGGGGGTGGCATGCGAACCCTTGGGGATGCGTGGCAGTGTCCCAGGGATACGTGGGTTGATTTTCAAATGTGTGAAATTATATCATACATGAGAGTTATTGGTGAATAATCATGTACGAAACTGCCGGTTATAAAATAACTACGGTAAAATTTTAATCCGCATGGTAACATAGAACTCATCATGAACAATGTGCTTTCCAAAAGTAACCAGCGATGTGCGAACAAATGACATCACGCATGCAGAGCGTCCGTTGAATATTTTTTGAAAAAATGTATTCGCTTGCAGTTGCCATCTAGTTAGGATACTTCACGAAATGGAAAATTGGCTAAAATATTGATGTTCATTATTCATTTATTTCTCTGAACCATGTTGGGTCGCAAGGGGGGGGGGTGGTACTTGATTGAAACATATTTTAACAAGGTGCACAGTATCCAAAAAAAGTTCGGAAACCAAGTCATGCATGTTTCAGGGTATTTTAAAGTATTTTAAGTGCGTATAATGAAACTGGTTCCCAGGAGCAATCCCGGGCTACATCGTAGCCTCAGAAACTACGGAGCACCTTTTTTTAAATGCAGCTCGCAGATAGGTTTTGCAATCCAGTTCAGGACCTTGATCCCATCTTCTGTGCCTCGTCAACAACTGCTACTTCTATGTTCATCAATCTCAATTTTTACAAGCCTCAATTTAGATCCAACCACTCTTCGTTTTACAAGCCTCAATTTACACACGAGCAGTTTGAATATCGAATATCACGAGCTTAATTGTTTTATTTATAACCACTTCTACTTTCATTACAGCCACTACATAGCCATTTCTAGATTCATCAGCCTCAATTTCTATGAATGTGTCGTGATGCACTTCGGAGCCGGATCGTTATGGCACCTTCTTTATTCTCGCACGTCAGGGAACTACAAACGCCCTACGTGCTTACACACTGGTCACACATCCTTCTAGTTCGACGGCGCTATCTAGCTAGTACAGTTGTCAGGCTGTCCAGCTAGCGGCGTCTCCCAGGATGGTTAAGACGGCGGTGACGAAGGTGACGAACAGCGACACAGCGATGGGATCCACTTCCAGCAACAGTCCCGAGCTCTCGACCCGGGTGGCCCCTTTTATCCTCCCGGCGTGGCCTCGCTCCGCCCTCGCCACTTTCGCCGATAACAAATCAGTGTGAGGGCCGCCACACATTTGGGTTTGACAGCATGGTGGGGTGTTTTTACATTTGTGTATTGTCAGGGGCTGCACTAAAGGCCACCAGGGGCCGCCTGTGGCCCGTGGGCCTTGCAACAAAGAGCATTGGTCTTCAGGAAGCAATGCGATCACAGGATATTACATCGTCACTGATCTATACGCACGTATACAATTATGCGTGTTTTTTACTTCTCGTGTTGCAGAACGTCATCCCGGCGGAAGTGTCCCTCGTGTGCGTCGTGAAGCCCGACGACTTCTGGGACAAGAAGTTCACGCACTTCTGCTTCTGGAAGGAGAAAAACAGGCTTGGCTTTGAGGCATGTTTCAGTAGGAATGTAGAAAAGAATTAGTCCTTTGTCAATTGACTCTTTCTGATTCGTTTGCGAGTTGCAGGGCAGGTCCCGTTCACCACTGAATCTTGGAATGCGCAAGCATTTAGCGTTAATTTTATTTAGAGAGGCGTTGCGCCGGTGTTTTAAAGACATTGTGCTCACCGCAGAGAATTGTAGCGATACGACCGCACTCTATGACAGCTGGCACCAAAGTGTGTCACACGCCCTTCCGCATAACAATTTTTCTTCTGATTCTGTTCCGATGCCGTACACCTATGTGGTACGTACGTTATCGGAATCGTCATCGGAATGCAATCGGAAGAAAACCCGATGACGTACACGTACGTACGTCATCGGAGCGGGAAATTATTAATTATCCAGCCAGGTGGCTTGGCTGTAGCAGCTCGAAAATCGCAATGTTGCGATTTCAAGTCCTGGAACGGATTCAACTTGGCTCATCATCTCCACGAGGTCGACATAACGAAGTGCTGCTTAGGGGAAGTCAACAATGGTTTTCCTATGGCTAGACCTGCCCCCCTCCACGGGAATGTGGAATTTTCGGTTGCTGCTGTAAACAGGAAATGAACACCATCGCAACACCCACCTGCTGGGCTGCGATTTGCCCAAGAGTTGGTAGTACAGCAAGCAGGTTGTTGTAGGTTATTCCCTGATGTGCCATGGGCAGCAGAGGATAAGGCAACAAAAATCTAGCGCTGTACCTTAACTGTGCTTCAGCGTCATGCAGTACGGTCAAATAGCCCACACAGTGTTGGAAGGCCCTCATCCAGCAGTGGATTGACATGTATGCATCTCCTCATGTAATGGAATGCTGATACATTCCTTGGGAGTCTTGGTTTTCTCCTGCAATCAAGAGCACGCTCAAGTAAAGAATCGGTTCAACTTTCTCAGGTAGCATATTTTTATATATATTTAAAAAAATAGTCTTGAGGTCCAGTTGAGGCTTCCCTGTGTAAATAACTGATTGTTGTTATTTGCGTTTTAGGTGATCCTAGTATCCGCTAACAAACTGACGCGCTACATAGAGCCATGTCAGCTGACGGAAGAGTTTGGAGGAACGCTGAAGCACAATCACGTGGACTGGGTTTCTAAGCGCATGGTATGTCGCATCGCAAATGCACTCCCCTTCCAAACCAGCACTCTGTCCGTTGCTTATCCGTGAAAATAATGTAACGATGCATGCATATAAAAGAACCCTCTAAAAGCCGCATACAAGCAATCCTCAACTTACAAACACCCGCACTTATGAACACCCGCACTTGCGAACACAAGCACTTACGAATCAGCTTCCATCCTACATATTATTTTTTAACATTGACTTAACGCGAAATCTTGCTTGCACATCGAACTGTGGCACTATTTTGTTTGGCTGAGCGATGCTTCGCGAGATATAAACGAGTGCCTCGGGCTGGGAGTGAGTGCTTGTGTGTGTGTGTGGGTATTTAGATGCGGTAGATTGCTGTGTTTCTGGCTTACTAACGGTTCGACTTGCGAACAGGTCTCAGGAACAAATTGTGTTCGTAAGTAGGGGACTGCAAATACTTGGTGTTTTCCACGTGAAATGTGAATCGTGTGTGACGTTTACATTCGCTGCCTAATGATAACGTGTAGCAAAATCGACGCACGTATTGAGTTTGCGCGATGACGTGACGCGTGCAGGGTGAAGTCCCGGTCACGTGATCCTCGGGGCCCATGGGGGGGGGGGAGGTGGGAGGTCATTTGGTAACGTGTGCCGCTTGACCACTGTGTAGTTTTGAAAACAGATTTTGCTCTTATTTGGAGACCTAAAACTTGTTTCATTGTCACCTACTTGGAGTATATCTCCACCTATGACCAAAGCAAGAGATGGTGCCTGATCTTATCAGATCATAGAAGCTAAGCAGGTTTTAAACCTGGATACTGCTCTGATAGGAAACAATTACTTGGCATTAGGCTGTGGGGCTATATGTGATACAGCAAAGGGCAGTGCAGCAATATTCGGACTGTATTTATATTATCCCACGTCTGTGCTCCAAGCCTTCAGCAATGCATGCACTGACTGGCGTTGTGAATTATAGGCAAGTACAACTAAACTGAACAATTTTTTTTTTTTAGCAAGTAAGGCCCTGAGGCCACCTGGCCACAAATGATAGCCCAACGAAGTGGCTTTTCTCGTGTAAATGTATCGCAGCTAAATACTCGTGATGTTGATTCTAAATGTGAAGGGTAAAACCAGTGGACCCGGAGAAAAATCCATGCGACCACGGGGAGAACATGCAAACTCCAGATGTACAGGCATCAGGGCTGGGATCGAACCCACTACCTCTTGTATACCAGGCGAGGTAGTTAACATCTCGCCACCATGGTGAGCCTTTTCTTACTCACCAGTGGTCGAGACTAATAACCGAGTGGCAGTCTAAGGAGGAAAATGCATGACAGTATGTGGTAAGATATCCCATAGTGATAAATGCACTTCTACAATGCTGATGATCCAGGTTGAAAACCTGACCACAATGCTCAACAGGAATGGGAATTGGCCTGGGCCTTCCCTGTGTCAATTTTTGTAAAACATGACTACACCACATCTCACCACAATGACCCACACGGCACTGGGAGGCCCTCGTCTAGCAGTGGATTGACAATGGGGCTGTACACATGCTAGAGATGACCTCTCACCCTTTTCTCCCATTCGTTGTCTCGTTGCCGGTCCCCCCTGTAGGCGTTTGAGAAGTTCGAGAGAGACTCCTTGACGCTGCTCAGCGAGATGGCACGAGTGATGAACGGAACGAAAACGTCAAACCAGCAGAGTGGAAATCTGTAAGCATAAGCGAGTGGTGGCGCTTAACGGGCTTGTTTTGTACCAATGGCTGATTAGCGATCTGAAAATTATAATTTCTCCCCATTGATGGTGCTCGTCTCCGTTGTTGATCCTGAGTCAGTCAGTTGTGAGAAGTATGTACATGTTTATGTACGTTTAACTTTTTTAGCACCATACGTAGCCAACTGCTAATCGGTGGTGCGGGAGAAGGACAACAAACTAAACACAACAAGGAGTTCTAAAGAAATTAGTTTCCAATCTAGATTTAAAAGTGCATAGCTCGAGGTGCTCCTAATATCAGAAGGAAGAACATTTCAAACGGCCTCAGAAGCGCATCTCAAAGCTAACCCAGCCAGGTGGGACCCTGATTTGATTTCTCAACTCCCAAATGGAATTGCAGTGAGCGCAGCCCATCATCCCTGCAAGGTTTATGAAATTAGTAATCTTTTTTGAGCAATCAGCATGGGCTGACATATACAGAGAATGGCCCTTGCCACGAAAACGTGCAGTGCTTCTCTATCAGAAAGCAACCTTCGATCAAATCACCCGGAATGCACCAGGTCTCGCCAGGTCTCCGAAGCAGAGCAGGGGTAGAGCCTGCATAGTGCTTGGATGGGTTACCACCTTGGACAAAGGGTTGTCATAGTCAGCGGGGCGACGTGGTGAAGTACTGTAAAATAACCTCCACGACCCGCACGAAGTGGGTGGCCCTCATCCAGCAGTGGATTGACAAAACGCCGTACATTTTCATGCAGTAGAAACCGGCCGTTACTTAACAACATGGCTGTTTCCGGTTTCTAATTCTTGGTGCAACCTCACCATAGTGGTACTCACTTTAATTACCATGGAGGGACACGTACAATGATGATGATGATTCAACCGCAAGCACAGTGGACTCCCATCGAAACGGTTCTATCTCCTTATTAGCAGCACACTGCAGGCATTTAATGCCGTGCAGTAATTGCGGTTCTTGTTTACGTTACGACATTCTGTTGCTGCCTTGTATAGAGTGTTTGTTGATTGAAACGTTTTGGTTCATTTTGTGTCCTCTGCAGACCTTCGGATGAGCACATGCTGTCTGGCGATCCCGAAGCCTATGCTGAAAATGGTACCGTCCTGTGATTTTCTACGTCTGGTTAAAATTGTAATCATTGTCGTCATCGTCCCTATCTTATATCTATCCACTGCTGTATCAAGGCTTACCCCAAGCCGTCACCATCCCACGTGGTCACGCCGATTGCATGGTGCCCTCGCCACAGTAGATGTCCTCTCGCGGGTGTGTTCACCCTGTTGGCCGGACTGTTGTTGGTCTTAAGAACAGGCCATCACCTACATGCATCTATATTAATTCGATAATTTTGCTTCTGTACATTTCCACATGATAAGCCACTTTGTTGAGCGATCATTTATGGCCAGAGTCCTTCTGAAAAGGAAGCTAATAGCTCAGTGGGCTTCACCTGGTAAGGTAAAAATTGTTTTGTTTTATTTGTATATATGAACCTTATGGCGGTATCCCAGAGTACCATAGTACCCCAGCTCTCGCATAATGTCGGTGATGCAGTCATTTTTAATCTGTTGATGGTCGGCGATGCGGCAATCGACTCATCTCGACGAGCTGTACACGATGCTCCGCCACGGTGCGTGCGAGCGTTCAGGGTTTCAGCACAATCGTCCTCGCTGCGTTTCGACATCGCGGAATGGCACCGACTTCGGATTGATTGATACCCCAGTCGCGGAGTTAAGTACACCCCTGGAACAAAATAGTGTCCCAGAAATAAAATATTTAATTGTCTCGGTCATTTTGTATTGTTTGGTACCCCGGGGTAGTGCCATAAGGATCATTTATATGTTTAAATGATTTGTTTACCATTTCTATACTTTGTATTCCAGTCGTGTTTTTGGAGTGCTCCTATTGGACATCTGTGAAATAGAACCTTATAGCTTATCGAATTCCTCCAGTATAGATAGATATTCTGATTCTTTCTTGTGACATGCCCTGCCCCTAAGCCTGTTTTATTTTCTTGGCAGTCACTAATTTGCTTATGTTTTCAAATCCACGTGTTCCTCCTCCTGTCTGTCAATGTAATTAATTAAAAAACACATTTACACACATGTACTGAAATACAGACATGCGCACACACATGCACACACACATTGGGCATATTTGTTAATCGAAGATTCTTTTCGGGTAAATGTTGGGTTGGCATAGGTACCTAACAAGTGGCAACAGCCAAAGAGACAGGTGTTACTGTATGTGCAGTAGATTTTATCCCTTCCAAGACTATCCTTTTCCCCAATCCCAGTTCCGTATTTAAATGGTCAATACAATGTTTTATTCCGCTCGTCCACGTGTTCCTCTTTCTCTCCCTCCAGTGTGATTCCAAACGAGCACCTCTCTTGATGTTTCCTTGCGTACTGCTCAGCTTTTTGTTTCCATCATCTTTGTCAATGTGCGTATTCCTGAATTGTTCTTGATATATCTGGCAAAGCCTTCCGAGATCTCACACCTCTGAAGCATTCTGCATTAGAATGTTTGGCATATCCCCAAATAAGTATTACATTGAACTACCCATTGAAAATGTACACATACAAGAGCAATAATGCATCGTAAATTAAGAATGAGTCAATATTATTCTTTATACGTTAAACATAAAATACTATTATAAATAGATATGTAAAAACAATCAATTTGCAGCAAGGGAAGCCACATTTTCATTTGGATTTTTGAAATGTTGCGGGTGCAACTTAAGTGCACCATTAAATCGCATTAAACTTCCCCTCCCAGGCGCATGGCCGTGTGTGGATGATGATGGTAATTGACACGTGTAGGTCACTGTTACTTCCCAGCACGGCAAACCCACATAGACTTGGCATCTCTTACTGTGGCCTTGAAAGATTTGGCATCGTTGGTTTATGCTGAAGGAAGCTTGTAAACATTTTTTTTATATATATCACCACTTTTTGTCTCGTGGGCTGTGACGGATGTCGACTGCCATTTGTCTATATCTTTGCCTTTTAAAATGTGCCTTCTGATGACAGCTGAAAAATTCAAAACACATGGTTCCAAAAAATATATATGCGTGCAAAAAAACCGGCATTATTATTATTGTGTGGAAATAGTTCAAAACGTGTGTTTCATTTTGTTTGAAATACACAGCAGAAAAATGTACTGTAATTTTTTTTCCAAATAACCAAATTCATTCCTCCCATAAGCTTTCTGTTATTCCCTAAGCACTCCAGTGCTGCACATATCAATCTTGCATTCATTCAACACATATGGACATTTTTAAAGGCGTTATGGAATTTACGTGTGTTTTGATGTCTCTACAACAGTTTGGGGACCTGAGTTCCAGGCCAGGCTGTGTAGACAACCTCAGAAAGATGACATGGACCTTCCAGATTTAAAAATCGGATCCCTTTAAGCCGACGTAATACCGATGTTGAATTCCAAAGGGGAACTTTGGACGGCCCTAGCGCATTTGTGCGTCGGTTGGAGGGCGTGAGGTTGGGCTCGGGGTACTTTAAATTCTCGGACTGTTGCTCCCGTGATCGCATTTGATGAATTCCTGCACCACCACGTGACAATGCGCTTTAAAAACCGCTATCGGTGGACCGCACTATTTCCAAATGGCAGTGATCTAACTCCAAAAAAAGAGCCTCAAAGTGTGGGCCACTTTTTTTTGTTATCTGGAAGTGTGATTACTGGCTAACTTGATGGCTGATACAGTACATGATCCTTAAGGAGTAAATCCACAAGCGGTCGTATCTCGGTCCTGCTGTTTTCTAAAATAATGTGGTGACAGCTTTGAGTCTCTTTGAGTTGGTGTCCAAAGCGAGAGGCTGTGTGCATTACGCACGCAGTGTGGCCTTGTCACATGACACGCGGGGCATGATGGGAGAACCGATAAACGGTCGCAATCGCACCTTTTTGCTCTTCATAAACCACCTTTTCCGTATATTATTACTCATGATCCATATTTGTTGTTTTTTCCAGCCTGCACGCACGTATCTGTGCCAGTTTCTCATTGTGTGCAGAGAGTCTCAGAATCGGTACACGCTACTGCTGTTTCAAACACATTTTTGCTTCTTGGAATCGGCTCTCTGCTGCTGTGTCTGCAACCTGTCCTCTCGTCGGCTGCTTTTGGCCAATTCGCTCCGCAATGCACCCGATTTTGTCACATCTTGGAAGCGCTGTAGGATTTAGCGTGGGTGGTTAGTGCTTGGATGGGCGACCACCCTGCGTGATGGCACGCTGGGTGCTCTAGGCTACCGTGGGGCTACGTTGTTATCAGAGGGCAGTGCAGCAAAAGTTATTGTATTGTGCTCTGCACCAATGTCTATGCATACCACTTTCACCAACCCACTGACTTGTGTCGTCAAGGCCTTCACCCAGCTGTAGATTGACTGAATGTACGTACAAACATTGTCAGCTACAACTGCTTTGGTATAGCTCCTGTGCAGCAGGGAAACGCGCTTCCGGATGCAAGAAGAAGCGTTAAACGTTTTCCCCTGCCTAACGTATACGACTGTTTTAAACTGGGTCTCTTTACCCTGGCTGGAGGAAAAGGAGCGGCTGCCTCTCCTTTCCTCTGCTGCTCCGACCGCATGGACCTCCCTCTCTCGCGCTCCCTCCCCCTTTCCCCATCCATGCCACCCAACCGACTCGCTTCCCGTGTTCTAAACTCGACGCCACACGTTTCCCCCCTTTTGCCTACAGTTAGATGTGGCGTCGCCCTGTCTACGGCATTAACTCTTGCACTTGTAAACTCTGACGTCTGTAAACGACGTGCGGATCTTGCGTGCATGCTTGTTTTATATAGGTTGGCTCTCGATTATTGGTCGGTGGAATATCTGGGTTTGCGGATTAATGGTGCTTGCGTAAAAAAACCGAGTATTTACATGCGTACGCTGGTTTAATTGCAAGCTGCTCCTCGCTCGTTGAGGGTCACTGCCTCATTGTCCACTTGACCGCAAGTAAAACATTCTGCATATTAACCCCTATTCTTTTTCAGACATGCAAAAATGTATTTGGAAAGCTACATTCACGTCTGTTTTTTATTTATCTGGGCCACCCTTTCCTCCCATTACGTCAGATAATTTAAGAGTTGACTGAACCCCTCCTTCGTAATGTGGAACTCTTCGCATCATATGTCCTTGTAGCGTTCCTGCAACATGCAGAACTGCGCATCATTTGCCTTATATTGTATGCGTGCTATCATAGTATCACTTGTTTACCCCTCCTTCAACCATAACTGTGCCGATCATTGGATTACGTTTGCAGTTTTGCACTTTGCTTATATAAATTATGTTTCATTAATAAATTCAAGTGAAGACAAGCAGTGCTTTTGAAGGTATAATAGATAAAAGTTACTACATTTCTTGAATTGAGTAAAGTTATAAGAACTTGGCAAAATAGGTCATGCAGCTGTTGTTGCTGATCAACTCCCCGCCAATACGAAAGAAGAAGTGAGCCTTTCCTGTGTTAAGAATTTCACATTGTCTGAAGCTGACTACCTGTGTGTGTGTGTGTGCGAGCGTGTGTATGTTATGCGGTTTCAGGAAAGGGCGGTCCTGCACAGATGCCATATTTTCTGTCCGTCTGCTACAGCAGAGGTGTAGGGAATTCCAACAAGACCTACATCTCTGCTTTATTGACCTGGTCAAGGCCTATGATACCATCAGTAGGCCTGGGCTCTGGGTCGTTCTTCGTGCTTTTGGAGTACCTGACCCTCTGCTCACGATCATTAAGGACCTTCATGATGGTGAACGGGCCCGGGTAAAACTACGTGGCCGGGAGTCAGAGCCATTCCCTGTACACCTTGGGGTGCGACAGGGATGTCCTCTGGCTCCCACATTATTTAACATCTATTTTGACCACGTAGTTCGTGAAGCCTTCAATAGCTGTACCGGGGGAATCTCCATATGGTACAGATATAATGGGAGGCTAATCGATGCCCGGGTGCGGTCAAGGGATAGCTCCCTATTGCTCAACCACGTTATGTATGCTGATGACTTGGTAATAGCTGCTCAGTCAGAGGAGGAGTTGGAGACGCTGCTGCTGAGACTGGAGTGTGCCACTAAGAGGTGGGGCCTTACCATCAGCCCCACCAAAACTAAGCACCTGCCTGGGTATTTTGTACCATCGGACACTCAACCCCCACAACTCCCAATCGGTGATGGGGCAGTTGTGGAGAGAGTGGAGAGTTTCCCATACCTGGGCAGTGTGCTTATGACTGGCTCCAGTTTAACAGCAGAGGTCTCACTCCGAATCAGTCGAGCGGCAATATCTTTTCATCGGTTGCGTAACGCTGTGTGGAAGCTACCTGGTCTGTCGCTCCGCACTAAGCTTCAGGTCTTCTCGGCCACGGTCATTCCCTCCCTTCTCTACGCTTGCGAAACGTGGACCCCCCTAATGGAACATCTTCGCCGGTTAGAAACATTTAGGCAGGTCTGCCTACGATCCATCCTGGGTTTAACCAGACTGGATTGTGTGAGGAGCTCACAAATCCTTGAAAGATCTGGGCAGGGTCCCATCGGTGAGCTCCTCCGGCAGGCAAGGCTGCGATGGCTGGGTCATGTAGCCCGCATGCCCAGCCACCGCATGCCGAAACAGCTTTTGTTTGGCCGGATTGAGGGGGCTAAGCGGGCGCGGCACGGGCTAGAGAAGAGATGGAGTGATGTGGTACAGGAGGACGTGGAGCTGAGTGGACTTGCCGATGACTGGTACCAGCGGTGTCAAGATCGGCCTCTGTGGAGGAGGCTCGTGAAGGATGCTACTGGGCAGTTGGAGGCAGTCGCCCTCCAACAACAACGGAGGGCGGAGGAGCGACGCTCGCAACAACGAGCGGAGCGCCGGGTGGCTAAAGCACAGCAGGTTGGCACAGTAGGGGGCACAGGTGGTGCATCAGCCAGTCATCTCAGTCAGTCGACCCGTGGCACCTGGGTCTGCCCCGTGACCTCCTGCCAGCGGGCGTTCGACACTTCACGTGGCCTCAGGGTGCACATAGCCTGGCACAAGCATCGTGGTGACGTCACCGCCACTTAGTGGCGAATGGCGGTTGTTGTTGTTGTTGTTGTATGTTATGGAAGCGGTAGTATAGCAGTTCGCGCGCTACAATATGAACCTGGCTACTTGCGTTTGATTTCTGCTCACAACCAACACCATTGATGATTATCTGAACCAGACCTGGGCCTCTGCTAGATTGACTCCGCCTCAAATGAGTACCTGGTGCAATGTGTAAACATCGCTACTGGGGAGACAAAGGCTACTGGTTGTGGTGCTGGCCACCCACCCCTTCGTGCACCGTGCCGGCCTTCATAGGTGCTACTCACTAACAGCACTTGCCCCAGCAGTCTGTTGAAGGCTACACGGGGGAATCTTTGTCTTGTGTAGGACGCCAGCTGCTCCTGGACCTGCAGCAGAGCCAAGGGCCGCGGGCCGAGGATGACCTGGTCCGGTTTCCTGTGGAGGGCGAGGTGACGGTCCAGGCCAGGGTTTTGGAGCTGCTCGATGCTGTGCACTCTCAGCACGAGAAGTGCCGTGAGTTGTGCCGGCAGCAGAGTCAGCTGATTCGTCTGGACGACCTACGGCAGAAGATCACCGAGGTGGGGATGTCTTTTAAAACTGCGCACTATACTGTTTAAAAAACTCAACACAGTGCCACACGATCTCGCAACAAAACAATTCCTGACATCTAATCGCAGATGCCAAACCCAGACTGAACAGGTCCCAATCTTGTTATCAACCCCCAGAGTGACATTCAGCATGATAATGTTTTCTTAGAGGGGGGGAGGGGAGTTTAATCCATGATCTTATGAACGAGAGTCCTCCAGCACTTGCAACTGAGCTCCATCCCAGCCTCATTAATCCACATTATTTCTGTTAATTAAAAGTCCGTGACGGCTCGCTATACCACTGTATCTAATTACGTTTAATGTAAAAAAATATATAATGTATGATCTTTCTTCGAGTAATTTAATGCAGAGATAAGTTCGTTTTGGTTAAAAAAAAAAAAACTGTTTATTATTGTAACCAGCAGAAAATTAACTGTGTATTTCGTCATTTTGATATTTTAATCAAACCGGCTGTGGCTGCGTTGGCTCTACACTTTAAATGGACTTCCCCAGAAGCCATGCGTCCCGCCTCTTGTTTTGATTACCGACCAGCTTGATGTCTTTGCGAGTGTTTTTGTCATTTGAGCTCGTCTAAATTCCGCAGTGTGCGACATGTGTTTACCCTTAGATCACATTGTCCGCCTCTTTGTAATCAATCGGTGAAAAATCCCGCTTGATGATGCAAGTCCTCAGCAGCGCTTCGTTTATCTCCGTTTAAAACTCACGCGTGGCACAATTTAGCTTGCTGTCCACTTTCCATAACAAACACTGTGGATGAATATGGCACATGTTCTGCTTGAAATCACTTTACTTTGTAAAGATTCTTTACAGAGTGGCAGGCGGCGCAAGCCTGAAGTTGTTGGGCTGTAAGCGGGCAAACGACTTCGTTTCATACGGCCACCGCCACTTTTGAGGCCTGCTACCAGTTTAGCTGCACTGATCGACAACTAGAGGGGACTATTTTCAGTCTGGCAACAACACCATGTTTCTAAATTTAGCGGTCTTGTCACCTTTAAAGAGGAGTCCTTAATTGTTGTGATTTTATTGGATAACGCGACGGTGTGTGCGCTCATGTGCGTGGCCCTCAAAAAGTATTTTTTTTATATTCCTATCCGGCCCTCGATAAGGGAGAGATTTTTCCAGGCCTGCTTCATGGCAACATCATTCAACCGAAGTGCATTTGAAAAATGATGAAGCTAGGCAACATTGTGCTCCCCCGGCACTTTTGCAGGTTGGTTCGAGCAACGTGTACGGCACGGCACGAAAATGAGTATTCACAAAAGTCCGTGTAAACATGTGTTCGTTCAGTCGGTCCCCGGGTCATAGCATTTCATCTGATATACCGAGCATGCGCTGCAGAGACCTCAGCCGATTTACCTGCTCCCTGCCTGAGTCTGGCGCTGCACCACACACCGCTTACTCGTGTGTGTGCCTGCTCGCAATATAATGCCACGAATAACTTGTAGGCTGATGGCTAATCGCTGAAAGCAAGAGAAAATATAACATGGTTGCAACGCTGCCGTTTATTTATGAAACGTGGAGCTTTTCCATTTTTTTGCACGGCCCGTTGTAATATTTTTTTTTTCTCGCGAAGGAAGGAAATTAAGCGATGCGGCCTGGCTGGCAGGGAACGCTCTACATCCTTGTATAAATACATCAGACCGCTCAACCAAAGCGAGCGTAATTACTTGCACATTGGCAAAAAAAAATTAGCGATGTTCTCTGTAATGCTTTTGAAAAAATGTCAGATGTCTCAATATTTTGCTGGTGTGAAAATATTAAATCCCATGCATTTGCTCATGCGATCACATTATTATTATTATTTTCTTCATACTTTTACAGTTAAATATACTGTTGAGAGTTAAGAGTTGAGTTGTTGCTTTAAGTATATATTATTTAGGAGCACGTCGCTAGTTGACTCGGGTCAGAGCACTGAGCAGGCACCGCTGTGATCCTGGATTTGAATCTGGGTTGCAGCCACACATGATTATCAAGTGTAGAGAGCTGGTGATCTCTGCCTGGCCGCCAATGACTGCACACAAGAAAACAAGGCAATGATGTCGTAGTTTTACTTAATTTGCCAAACATTCCAGCTCGGACAATTGAAAATTTCGGCTTGACCGCCAGGTGACAAACCATTCGTGTGGATGAAATGTGGGTAAAGAGATCATTTGAAAGAGTTATCAAAAGTATTTTTGTATTATCCGCTTTTGCGAGCCGATCTTCATATATGGGTTGATGACCTGGGCTGGGAGTTCTGAATGGGTTGTTTTTCATCTCATAACAAAATGCTGATAGCACAGTTGGAATATAGTCTTGGAAAATCATCTAAGGGATGCATTGTTTTGTACTGTTTTCGAATACGCATTTATCCTTCGCAGTATATGTCCATTACAGAAACCGATGGGTGAAATGCATTTTCACACGAGTCCATTTTGCTCTGCTTTGTGTCGCCAAGTTACGGGCAACCCTTTGGTCAATTTCGTTATATTGCATCACCATAACAAGACTTGTAGTGCCGCCCCCATTTCAGATAGACATGGTCATTGGAATGGATGGATCAACTCTGGAAATGCATAAACGCTTTCTATGTTAGTTGGAAAGAGTTAAAAAGGAAATGTAAAAAAGGTAACGAGAGTAAATTGGTTGAGTTTGACTACGTTGTGTTGTGTGAGCCGAGTCTAAGAAAAAAACACTTGTTTTATTTACCAGGTAAGGCCCACTGGGCTATATAGCTATTTTTCAGAAGCGACCTGGCCACAAACGATAGCTCAATGAAGTGGCTTAACACGTGAACATTTATTGCAGCAAAATACTCTAAATGCATGTTTCTAAATGTGAAGGGAAACAACGGAGGATCCGGAGAAAAATCCACGTGACCACAGTGAGAACGTGTAAACTCCAAATATACAACAGGCGTCAGGGTTGGGATCGAACCCACGACCACCTGTATACCAGGCGAGGCGGTTAACATCTCGCCACCGCGGTGTCGTTGCAGGTTGTGAACTGGTTTGAAGGCCCAGGGGCTGATATGCTGAAGGAGCAGCGAGGCATTGGAGACTCGGCGCGTGCGACACAAGCTCTGCAGCAGAAGCACGAAGACATCGAGAACCTGTACACGGTAACTACCCCTCCACTGGAGGACATACGCACGAAGGCTAGTCTAGCGCTCGGTTTTAGTGACCACTGGGCCAAGCTAGTGCAGAGGTTCGATGGGTTTCTGGTTTGATTCCTGTTCATACCTTGAGACGTTGATTTTGAACCTCTCCTGGGGTTCCCTTAGTACAATGAAATGGGATTCATATCGCGTTTGAATGCGACTGCATCTAAGATGCTGTCCAGAAACAGTGAGCATTCTGGTCCATTCAGCCTTCAGTGATTACCGAGAAAAATGTAACATCAGCAATGGCAAGACAAAGGTGGCCAGGCGTCGTGCTAACCAATTAAATTAATTGCCAAAGTATGGGGGGGGGGGTTAATGGTTCCAATAAACTTTTTTTTTAGCTGACAAAATAATGCATATTCTCACGTTAAATGCATCGATGCATGCAACACGAATGGATACATCGATTTAAATTAAAGAATGGATGCATCATTGCATACCTAGGGCTGTTCAAACCATTGTTTATCAAAAATGCTCTTTCACAAACTGTTTTCATTGGCTGGACAAAAATCCGTCGCTCTTATGCCACGCTTCATCACCTGATGAGTCCGCGAAGCCACAGCACCCTGAGAGAGACATGGCTCACCGAGCCAGGTCGGAGAAAATGAAGGGGATATAAACAAAGAAAGATAATCGAGAGCTGTGAACGAGAGATGAAGATTTATCCGTGTTGGAAATGTATAGCAGACATACACACAGAGAGAGACATGCCAACTCCAAATATACAGGTGTCGGGGTCGAATCCACGACCTGCATATCAGGCGAGGTCGTTAACATCTCACCACCGTGGCACCCCAATGCGGTGCCTCATTACTTTTCCGTCCCTGAGATTTAAATCGCGCCCCTCCCCCCCCCCCCCCACCCCCCCAAGCTATGACCAGGCCTATCCGAACCCCCCCCCCCCCCCCCCTTAACAACTCCGTCCTGTTCTCCTGCCACTAAAACTTACACTGCTACTTTTAACAACCCAATTCTTCATCTCAAACCAATATCACCTTGCCTCCAATTTTTCAATTGCTGTAAAGCACCTCGCAAAAGGCGATGTATAAATCTCGATAAGATAAGAAAGTTGCACTGAACGGCCGTTACTGATTGCGCGCGTCATTCGCCCCCCCCCTCCCCTCCCGCTTTCGCGCGCCCACCCGCAGGAGTGGTTCGCCGTCTATGTGGACCTGGGCCAGCAGATCTCGGCGCTGCTGTCGGCGGCCGAGACGGCGGAGGGGGAGGAGGACGAGGGGGGGGTCGGCGGCTCGGAGGGCAGCTCGGAGGAACTGCAGGCGCTGCAGCAGCGGCTCAACGACGTGTGCTACCGGCACGCCATGCAGCTCGAGTACCGGCAGAGCCTGCTGCAGGCCGCGGCGGACTTTCACAGGCTCTCGCATGACGTGAGCCCCCTTCCCGCGCTCGCTCGCTCGCTCGCTCGTGAATTTGCTCTCTCGCTCGTCAATTCGCTCGCCAATTCGCTCGTTTGTCAGTTCGCTCGCTCGCACGCCAATTTTCTCGCTCGCCAATTCGCTCATTCACATGTGTAACACATTGACAGTTGTAATCTTAAAGAATGCGTACGTTGAGCCAAATCTCAAAGCGCTGTGAAAAATCGAATGAATACGCACATCAGGGGGACCGCAGAAGACGGAGACCGTTTATTGGGGTTTTTGTTTTGTTGTTTAGGAGGTTCAGTTGGGGGATGGGGGTCAGACGACAGGGCAGGCAAGTGCGAAGATTGAACACGTTTCATAGAAAAGAGACCGGTATTCGCAATCGGCGGAAACGCGCATCACAAACACCTCTATTGTGTTTTAGCGGCACATCACGTGGGAAAGGTGTTGGGTGGGGGGGGGCAGAATGCATTTTCACCCGCACCTCTGCGGAGCTGAGAGTTGACGTGGAAGTGGAACGTTGTTTGGGCTGAGCGTGAATTATATTGCTGCTGCTGTCCCCCCACTGACGTAACTTGCCCTTCGCAGCTGTCGCACAATCTGGACGGGCTGCTGGGCGTTCTGTGCACGGACGTCCTGCTCGTTGACGGCACCACGGCACAGCAGAGCCTGCGCGTGCTGGAGGAGAAGCTGCAGACCGTGGGTATGAATGCGTAGACGCGCACGCTCCTATGCACGACTGGACATCGCTATGTATGTATTTGTAACTTCTTTCGCACCATATGTAGCCAGCCGACCTCGCGAATCGGAGGTGTGGGGGAAGGATAACAAACTAAAGACAAAAAGCAGTTCTAAAGAAATTAGTTTTCAATCGAGATTATTTAAAAGTGCATATCTCCAGTGGCTTCCTAATATTGGAAGGAAGAGCGTTCCAGACGGCCGCAGAAGCGCATCTGAAAGGGCCCAATGCGGTGTCCGTCTTTGTTCGATGGTTAGCCAAAAGCCGCTGCGAGGATGAATGGAGCTTTTAACAGCTGATCCTGATGGTGGTACCACGGGGTACCAAACAATACAAAATGACCGAGGAAATTAAATATTTTATTTCTGGGACACTTAGTTTTTTTTCCAGGGGTGTACTTAACTCCGCGACTGGGGTAACCAATCCGACATCGTCGCTACTCCGCGATGTTGAAACACAGCGAGGACGATTGCGCCGAAACCCTGAACGCTCGTGTACGCACCGTGGTGGTGCATCGTGTACAGCTCGTCGAGATGAGTCGGTTGCCGCATCGCCGACCATCGACAGACCGAAAATGACTGCGTCACGGACATTATGCGAGAGCCGGTCTTGAATTGGGCTATGCGGGGGTTCTTTGCCTTTTGTTTTGTGGGTGCACATGCAGAGGCCGTGTCACAGGGGCTGCAGGAGAAGAGCCAGGCCCTGTTGGAGCTGCTGGGCAGCCCCCCGCCGCAGGCCACGTGGCGCGGGGAGCCCGGCTCCGGTGACGGCGGCGAGGCCGACACCGGCACCCACGTGCGCGCACTCATGGACGACATGCTGCTACGCAAGAAGAGGCATTGCACGCACGCACTCGCAGTTACGCGTAGTACCCACGCAGGCATGCAGATACACATACGCGGGGCATGCACGTAGCGCGTGCACATGGCATGCACTTAGGACATGCAGTACACGTAAAACGCGTACATGCAACGCACCCGCTTGGACAGATATAAAGATCCAATGAATAGCCTCTAACAGACTGTTGGGGCAAGTGCTGTTAGTACCATGCCCGACCGACTTTGTCTCCCCAGTGGTGATGTTTACACACCGCTCCGGGTACTCACTTGAGGCGGAGTCGACCTAAAGGAGGCCCAAAACCGGTTCAGAGTATCGTGACTGGTGTTGGCCATGAGCGGACCCACCTGCGTGCACATTTAACGCACACCACGCATGCACGACTCGCCCGAATGCACGCACGCAAACCCAGGTAGCCAAGATAATAACGCGGTTCTCCAGCTGCATCTCGTAACATACAAAGACAACGATTCTTCGTTTACACACGTAGGCACACACGTGCCGACGCATTAATCAAATACGTTTGCACATGCATTGTATAAACTGTCGGGCCCCTTTCTGTCAGTGAGCACCTTCTCAGGCCATTGTACCAAGGCACGAGGTGAGAAGTTGGAACCAATACTCTGCAACTTGGGTCCGATAGACAAGGAAAGGTGTTTGATATCTGAAGGCGGCTGCACCGCTCAATCAAAAGAGAGACTCGATAATATCTAAGCCAGCTCACAGCCGATTTGATCTACGTGTCAATTCAAGCCCCCCCCCCCCCCCCCCGCTCTGCTGTGTTACCCGTGTCCTGGCAGGTGTGAGGACATGGTGGACGTGAGGAAGCTGAAGCTCCTGCAGATCATCCAGGTGCTCAAGTGTGAGGACGACGCCTCCCAGGTGAGGATTAATTTTTGGACCACTCGATCTGTTCACGTGCTGCCTGAGATCTCGTTCTCGTCATCATTAACTCTATTCAGCTCTAAGAGCCATGATTCTCCATTAATGCCCCTCTCTGCTGAGCCTTCAGGCCATCATTCAGGTCTAAAGCCCTCTTGTCAACCCTAAGGGCCATTATATTATTTTCAACCCCTCGTTCTGTAACCTTAAGACAAATTACTCGCTCTGCTGAGCAGCCATACCTGAGGCTTTATGGTTTTCGCCTTGAAGAGGCTGACTGGGTTGATGGTCTCAGGCCAGTCATCAATGGCTGTGTAAAAAAATAATCATTTATTTTCTTTGGTTAAGTTGCCTAAATTCCACCTAACAATAAAAAATATCGGTTGGACTGTCATGTGATAAGCAGTCTCCTCGCAGAGTTTGTAGGAAAGTGCTGAGTTTGTAGGAAAGTGCAGAGTTTGTAGGAAAGTGCGCTCCTTCTGGGTAAAGGATAAAAAGGTCACGTTAATCATTGATCGGGAGAGGTCGTGTCTGTCCTTGGAGGGCATGTGGATAATGAGTTCTGTAAAAGAAACGTTCAAATTATTTCCTTGACACACCGTGTTCCACAACAGTTTTACCGCGCACACACACACACACACAGAGTGCACTCCTTCCAACGCAATGCCCCTAGTTCTCAAATACAAAGGAGACATTGCAGCGATACACTCGACTGCTCCTGGTGCCGGTGTCTGGCTTGACCACCTGGATGGGAGATTATAGTTGGGGAGATGTTGTCTGCCTCGTCTGGTATACAGGTGGTCTTGGGTTCGATCCCAACCCTGCCACCTGTATATCTGGAGTTTGCACCTTCTCCCTGTGGTCGTGTGGATTTTTCTCCGGATTTGTCTGCAATAAATTTCCACGTGACAAGCCACTTCGTTGAGCTATCGTTTTTGGCTAGAGGTCGCTTCTGAAAAAGAGCTACATGGCTCAGTGGTCTTTACCTGGTAAAATAAAAAAATGTGTAGTTTTTTAGTTTACATCAGCTGTACGACAAGAAGAAGACTCCTTCTGAGTCCCGAGGTGGGGGCGATTCATTGTCTTGTGACGCAACTCTGATAGCATAGTTTTTTAAAATTGTATTTCAATAGGAGCCTGCTACAGAGCACAAACCGTGACGTGGGGGGGGGGGGTACAGAAAATCGGTGGAACTCGGTCCCGGACACTGTGCATCTGGATTTACAGCTCAAATCGCGCACTCCTTTTACCTCTCTTCCCCTTCTCCCCCCCTCCTATGGCCCTCTCCTACGTACGGTCCCGTCGTGCCGAATTCAAATTTTCTCGGAGTTTCTGTTGTCCTTCCGATGTCGGTCGGCGTATTGTACCCGGCTCGCGTTTTGTCCGGGGGGGGGGCGGGGGGGGGAAATAATAAAAAAAAAGACTTGATAGCACAGTTGATTGGTCGACTGCGCGCAGGCGGTGGACTGGCTCGGGGAGCTGCAGGACGCGATGCTCAAGACGCACACGCAGCTCGGGGATGACTCGCGCGAGGTCGAGGCGCTGCTGGAGAAACACAAGAAGTGCCACGACGTAGCCCAGGTGCGAGACCCCGCGCCGTCCGTCAGTCAGTCAGTCAGTCCGCTCGCTCGCCGGTAATAGCAATAAGAATGCTTTCGGTTTTTTTCTATAGCGTCAGTCATGCCAACAGCATCCCGCAACGTCGCGCGGTAATTCTGTATAAGGACCAAATCCCATATGCGCGGTTGGCTACGCACGGCGCGAAAGAAGTTCTACATACATACGTGCTTCCCTCTTTATCGTTTGCGTGTGCGCGATTGGCCTGCGTGCGTGCGTGCGTGCGCCCGCCCGCGTGCGTGTGTGCAGAGCACGTACGAGTACGGGCGGGAGCTGCTGCAGGCGTCGGTGCTGATGCGCAAGTCTCTCCGCTACGCGGGGAAAGCGAGTGGCGAGGTGCTGCCGCGGCTCACGCGCGCCTGGAAGCAGTTCTCTGCCACGTCCGATGAGCGGGGATGCCGGCTCGCCATGGCGCAAGCTTTCCACGCCGCCGCGGAGAAGGTCCCGTCCCACGCCCCCCACCCACCCCTCCCCCCAGCCTCTCACACCTCCCACCCTGGACATGCTGGACATCGGTGAAAAAGAGCTCAGTAGCTCATCGGATGACTCCAGGATCAATAAAGATTCGAATTAATTAAAGATTCTGACTCCCCTCCATGCACGGTTCTCTCTCATCTCACTCTACTCCCCTCCACGACCATAGCGCCCTTCACAGCCTAGGGGTGTGGACGTGTGACGCCAACGATTACCAGCGAGAGATCCTCCGGTGATTGTCGGTTAAGACTACAGACGCGCGGTGGGATGTCTGGACACCCGCGGCACCGTAGTAGCTGCGCCCCTTCGTCGCAACCCCCGGGTAACACAGAATGGAACGCAGCGCTGGGTTTCCGTCTGTCCAGAATCACTGCGTAGAAAACGTAGGTGAAATGCAGATGCTTTTGTAAGTAACGAACAGGTCAGGGTTTATATGAGATGGTAAAATATCTGGTGCTGTTACCCACCTATTCTATTGTTTGAATAAAAACCCGTGTGTCTTATTAGTTTGTCTTTCTGTTGGTCTATGCCGGTTGTCACTTGTTCAGTTAGTCTTTTTGCTTGTTCATCAATACATTTTTCAGTCTTTCTGTCTGTGCCTGTCTGCTTGCCCCAACCCCTCTTTCTGATTGCCTACCTCTCTGCTTTCCTGGCTGTCTGCCTGCCTGTTCATTTGTTTGTTTGTCCACCCTCTCGGCTGGTCGGTCTGTCTGCCTGTGTCCGCCTGCGCCGTTCATCTCTCCCGTTATCTTTCCGCACGCAGGTGCTAAGGGAGGATGCGTCCGGCACGGGCAACGGGAGTCACGACCGCGAGCGGGAGGCGGAGGAGCTGGGGCGCTCGCTGCTGGATCGGCTAACGATGCCCGTGAGCCTGCCCGACGGGTACGATCCAACGCTCGCACGCGACGGCAACAACAGCAATGACGACAACGTGGGTTTACGTGGCGCCTAAATGTGGCATCTCAGGGCAGTGGACAGAAGCCGTGTGTTTTTGTATGGGGAAGCAGTCGATGAGACACGGGGGTGAAAAACAGGAAGGGATCCTGAGTCTGGACTTGAACAGGGAACAGGGAGATGACAGCACAGATGGACGGGGAAAAGGAGTTCCAGACTAGGAGGGCAGCAGAAGAGAAGATTAATTTTAATTCGTTTCAGGGAATGGACAGACCCCATTCCTGACAATCTATTTACCCCGTATTAATTCAATGACACGTTTTAAAATTTGTATCATTAAATGGGGGAAATGCCTAGAACATTAAACGAACCAAACAAAGGCAACTTTTTGTTACGAATCCCAGAGACGGTGGGAGAAACGCCCCAAGCTGCTGCTGGCACGGCTGCCTTGCTCTCGCAGATTGTTTAGTAATTATCCGGCAATGACTTCCTGTTTGCGAAAATGAGAAACCTTCACGGGGTGTTAACGGTTATTGTGTGCGTTTTGGCGAGTCGTCGCGTTTTAGCGACGTACCGGCGAGTTGTCGGGTCAAAGCGATTTTTCCCTTCGAGATTGCGAGCCCGCGTGTGAATAAAAATCATTGCCCGGTGTTAATTAAGCTCCTCAAGCTGAACCAAAACCATTTTATCAACCAACTAAAAGCCCACTGAGCTTTTAGCTGCCACGCATGATGGCTCATCGAAATGGCTCTATTCATCATCACAAGTGGAAATTTCATAGTCGCAGCCAAATCATCTTAAGCGATTGTTTCTAAATGTGGAGGGCAAAACCGGAAGACCCGTGGAAAAATTCACGTGACCACCACTAAGAAGAGAGAACGCATCAACTCCCAATTATACAACAGGCATCGTCAGAGTCCGGGATCGAACCCAAGAACCTGCTTACCGGGCGAAAGAAATGGCATCTTGACACCGCAGCGCCCCAATTTATTGCCACATGTCGTTCAGTCCCCTTCCTGGGCTTGCAATGGCCAGCAGATGGCAGTACAGCAAATGGGTTCAAGAACTTGCGTGTGGCGTAACCCTTGGTTTCATCCCATGTGCAAAACACACCTTCACCAGGAATTGGCCTGACTTGTACGCGTTGTTTTGCAAATCGTTTGTGTGACCCTCGCACGGACGCGAGGGCACTAAAATGTCATCGCCATGTTAAAACTTTAAAGAACGAGTTGTCAATTGAATTTACAACCCGCTGATCACGTGACAATTCATCATGTGCACCAAGGTGGTTCCGAATTGCCACAGGCGTAATTATTAGTTAGGCATCAATCTATTGGAGTGACGGTGCAGCGGTTAGTGGACTGCACTATAAACCCGGTGACCTGAGTTTACTGCTGGTGACCGTTAACACCGGTTGGCGAGTGGTATCGTAGCCGTGCCCTGGTCCTCGCTTCACCAACCAACGCTGACCAGCGTTGTGAAGCCCACCGTATGGTCAAATCATCGTTGTCGTCGTTGTTATCATGGTCATGGTCGTTCTAATCATCTCATCGTGGTCATCATCACGATTGTTTTCTTCTTAGTTATAGTTTTCGTCATCGCCATGGTGTGTGCAGCAAAGAGACGTACAACACAATGCATTGACTTAAAGCTTTCGTGACTGCAGGAATTCATGCTCTCTGGGTCACGTGACTTTACCGAAAGACCCAAAGAGGACACGATGCATTGTTGTGTTGTACTTTGAGGCTGCCACATCTATGCGCCCTGCCTTCACAAACCCGCAGTGACCAGCATGGTGAAGTATGCTCAGATGTCTCCCACGACCTATACGGCGCGGTGAGACCTTTGTCCAATAGTAGATTGTTGTTATGAAAGTCAAAGCCGTTCAAAGTGATTTCCTACTCACATGAGCGCCGGTGTCTTGCTCCTCTCTTGTTTAGAGCCCTGAGCCAATGGTCAAAATTCAACATTCCATTGACGGGGGCGAGTAGCCATAGGGAACAACCACAATGTGATACCTACTTTAGCGACCCTGAATGGACGATGGGCTGAGTCAACCCCGAACTAGGATTATTATTAATGTAGTGTGTTATTATTAATACTACAGTGTTTTATTTACACGAGAAAAAGCATTGCCGAGTTGCAAGGCACTTTGCGATGTTTCCGTCACGTCGCGGCATCTATTTGTGTTCACCGCCCGCCGCTCTTCATCGAGGGACTGCTGTGTGTTGTCTTGGTGTGGTCTGGGACTGTTTCGTTGGTGTTGTTTTCTGCCTTGTCCAAAGCTCGATGAATCGGACTTGTATAATGAATGTATTTATAATTCAGCAACTCGCTTTTACCTTTTTCTACATTTTACACTCCTATCGCCTTTTTTTGTATCGTTTGTTTGTTGTAACTCCTTGACTTGCCCCGTACTGGACATCTGTGAAAAAGAGCTTCATAGCTCATCGGATTCCTCCTCCATTCCAAGCAGAGTTTCTGATTCTGTAATTTTGTACACGGTGTAACTATATTTCTCAAAGTTCCGCTTGACAAAGGGCTGATGAATCGTTTTTGTTAAAACGCGTACCTGTCACAGGGACTTATGCCATTGAGCGTCGTTGTCAAACTAGTACCAAGTGGCGGCCTTCTCGCGGCTTTAGCTTTACACTCGAGGCAAATTACTCGGTCGAGCCGCTGCTGCTGCTAATCTTTGACCCTCGCTGCTCGCTCGCCTTGCACTTCTCAGCTCGGAGCAGTTCTTCGGGAGCCCCGGCGACATGGCCGCGGCGACGGAAGGGATCCGCGAGAAGCTGCGGCTGCTGGAGCAGAGGCTGAGTGCTCCGTGCGGAACTCCCAACGGCGACTTCTAGCCGCTGGCCCCAAGCGGCCTCCTCCGTTTCGCGCGAGCGGCCCCGGAATGGCCTCCGGCGCGACTTGCGTGCGGTCGCTCGCCGACGACGAGCCGCCCCTCCCCGCGCGGGCGGGCAACTGTGCCCGCTCACGACGGCCCAGAGCGCCGGAGTTGCATCTTAACGCCCGGAGTAAAGGCGTCTCGCCCGTTGTGGTGTGGTGACAAGGTCCGTGTTGGGTGGGGGGAGGTGGGGGGGTGGCCAAGTCTTTTCCACAAACGCCTGGTCACACTGCACAGACTTCCGCGCGGGCGCTTCTGGCGGCCGGCCTTGGTGGTCTCCCAATAACATGGAACGAGATTTTTTTCATTTGCTCGCCGTATCCTACGGCGAGGTCTCCTGCGCCGCCCTACACTGTGGTGTAATGGCCTGGCGTCCTGTACACACTACACCGTCGAGGTTTATAAGCTGGCGATGGCTTGTATATCATGCTACGATAGCCTGCGCGGCGTGTTGTTACACCGCACACCATGGTGTGTATAACATGATATTCTGTACACCTTAGTGCCCTTTATTTACACTGCACCTCGCTGCGGCGCACACACACACGCACGCACACACGCACTCGGTATCCCGTACGTCTCGTACACCGTTTTGCACGCAGCGCGTACCGCACCGAGTCCCGTGGCCTCCCCGTGCACACTGTGAGAGTTGACGGCTGTGTAAACTGCACTGCGAAGCACGCCAGCGCACTAACGGGCTGCACAACAAAGCCCACGAACACGCTCCTCCTCTCTTCGTCGCGTTTATCTGGCGTGCCGCCGCCGCGGGTGAATTTCACAACGAATGAAACGGCAGCGTGTGTGCGCGCCTGTCGCGTTTGCGTCTCGCGTTTTACGAAAAGCAATGTGGTCCGGTATCGTGCAAGTGGCTTCCTATGGTTCAGCCGCTAATGCAGGGATTTAAGTGACGAGGGGAAGGGCATGCGTTAAAGAGAGCGGCGTCGATTTTACTGAAGGACCTGCGGGAGTAGGGAGCGGAGAGTGAAGCGTATAACAATGGGTCCCTGAACGTAGGATATTGGTTCGAGAAGAGTACAAGAGGGAATCTGCAGAAAGTTCCGGGGACGTGCTCATGTCACCCCGAATGTTTTGTGCTTGCGTTCAGGATTTGTGCGGCCTACAGCGAATGTGTTATCCCTGGGCTTTAAAGCGGCGAGATTAGCGAACTCCCGTCCCTTTTTGCAATAAGTGAAATATTTTAGCAATGACAAATTGGATTTTCGATGGAAGTAAGTTGATTGGAAATTGCAAGCCTCTTCGGTTTTTAAAAAAATGTATTCTTGCAAGGGAAAGTACGGTTTATCATCTTAAAACAACGGGGCACATTCATTTTTGTCGGTTTTTGTTCAAGTGTTGCAGTGAAGGTGCACGCCGACGACTGCATATTATTAATGACGATCGGGATGGGTATATCTTTTTTTTACCTACTTGGGTAGATGGTGGCAATATTTTCTACTTCGCCACATTTCCCATCGTGGTCATACAGCAGTCTTGATTAACTTGATGGTAATAAATAGCGCACGGTAAACTTCTTAATCAATAGAAGCAATAGAAGCTTCTTGCAGTTATGTTAGGCTCCGGGTAATTTTCTCTTATTTATTAGAATATTTTTTTTTTAAGCAGGCTGGACATTTTTTACTTTTTTTTTTTTACTATCCGCTTGATGCTATAAATGGTGCTGAAGTAATAGCAATTTAAATCTTTTACTTACTTGTGATAATTATTCAATCATTTATACTTTTAGTTTACGAGTTATATTTGAGCGCTTTCACGTTATTTAAACATTGAGCTGGCCTCGCCCTTGTAGTGTTAACCAAGTACAGTACAGCTCTCCCATTTTTCCACCTTATCATGTTTGATTATTTCCTATATCGTACTTTTTCTTGATTCACAGATGGTCACTTTTAAAGTTTTACCAATGCGTTTCGGCTTTGATTGGCTGATGTACAATGTATAAAGTAATAGCATTTCCTGAATTTGCGTAAATATCACTGCAACGCTCATTTTCAATTGGTTGCTATATTGATATGTTTTGCCAATTCCACCGTAAACCAATTCTCGTTTTGTGTGGAAGGCAACTGGAGTGCCTGCCATAACAGGCCCTGTCGGCTTTGAATAAGAATAAGGTGCCACGGTGGCGAGATGTTAACTACCTCGCCCGGTATGCAAGAGGTCGTGGGTTTGATCATGCTCTGACGCCTGTATATTTGGAATTTGCATGTTCTCCCCGTGGTCGCGTGTATTTTTCTCCGGTACCTGCGGTTTTTCCCTCCACATTTAGAATGAACATGCGTTTTAGAATATTTGGCTACTATAAATGTTCACATGATGTTAATCCACTTTTGTTGAGCTATCGTTTGTGATAGCCAGGTCGCTTCTGAAAAAGGGCTATTGTAGCTCATTGCGCCTTTGCTGGTAGGGAAAATAAAATATTTTAATAAAAGGGAGTAATGCCTGGAGAAAACCCACACATTCGAGGAAGATATCACTCAAAACGCCACTCAAATAGGTTAGAAACTCGGTCACTTTATTGGTCCCGTAGACGGGCATCTTCTATTTTTGTCATTTCGCCACATATCTGAGCCAGCCACCAACTCCCCCACCTCCCAAGTCTCTGCACTGCTAGAGGGTGTGGGTGGGGGAAAGGGGGGTACATTCACAGGTGCCGCTCCTGGCAGTGAGTTTATTAAGATGATGCAGTTTCCTTCCGAGTAGTGCAACGGTTTGACAACGAGCAAGCGGCGTTGATTTTTTTTGTGTGTACGAGCAAAGTGCAGCGGTTCCAGGTTTTTGCTGATGTTGGCTCTAATCGAGACGCGTTGTGTCCCAGCGTAATGAGGCTTCCGGTGTTACTGAATCCCATCGATTTCAGATTGCTGTGCCAGTGTGTGCTCCATATCTTTGCTTTATAATGGTTGTGATGATAACGCTTTTAAGTAATGGCGAATGCTCCATGATTTCAGTGGACCACAGTTTGGAGTGTTTTGGTCACGAAGTAGTTGACCTTTGAAATTCAGGGTAAGGCTTTAAACTAAAGTGATTTACAAGGGCATTTACGTGGCAACTTAAAAAAAAGATATATAATTTGGATTTTTTTTGTAAATCTGTAAATGATGAAAAGGAAAATGTCTCGAGGGGAATCGAATAGAAAGCTGCACGTTAATTACATGCCCAGACTTATGTCATGAGATGTAATGGTGTATTCTGTTATTATTTCTCGATTAAGTGTTCGAATAATGTTGCGTCTGCACAATATATGAAAACTATGGAATTCGTTTTTCTCCCCCACAAACTTTCAGATGTTAATCTTTTTATATCCAGTATTTAAACACCTTTTTTTGTACCCTACCTATAATTTTTGTATTGTCGGCTTGATAACCAAACATGGTAGATGTTATGGATGTTTCATGATTGTTATTTTTAATCGGATTATGGCCATTGCTTTCCGTGAGGTAAATCGTCGCACCGCATACGAACGCGTGCGTTATGGAGCATTGTGGGTAAAATCGTATCTCCAACTCCTGTTTCTTCGCTTATAAATGTACACATTTTCTGTTAGTCCATCAATATATTGTCTTTCCAGACCAATATTATCACGCGACATTTGTTTAAACAACCAAACTCTGGAGTGGTTTCAACCTTCGTGGGTTGCATCAGCAGAATCACGCTTGTTTAATGACATGTTTATATGTACAGTATATTAAAATGCGCCTGTTATTTAGAGCCAGGTTATTTCGGAGATTACTTTATTATCGTCTTGCAAGTTCAAAAGCCATGAACTGAAGGAAACTAGTTAGTGTTTATCAGCAAACATTCTGAACATTGCAAATGTTTTTTCTAATGTGGAATGTTAATTATTTTTTATATATATTATTCTTGTTTTGGAAGTTCCGGTCGCATTTCATCCACCTGCATTGTTTAAAACATATGTTAAACGCGGTCGTTCATTGTAGCATGTCACTGAAGTTGAGAGATACATTACAAACGAACATGTATTCATGATAAACTGAAGTATACTTTTTTTGTAGTTTCTTATCCACTTTTGTTAATTTAAAGGCACGCGGTCTCGGTAACTGCTACGTCACAAACTGTAAAAAATGTAGAAAGTAAATAGAGTATAATTTTGTAGACTTTTACCGTAGGGCGATGTCTGTGTAGGAGGTTAGGTGATGGCGAGCTGCGGGTAAACCGAAGCGTTAAGGCTCTATATTCTCATATTCCTGAACTCTTGCAGTTTAACGGGTTATAAAATGTGCATGTTTCACTTACGTAAGCAGGTTCAACAATAAAGACATTGTCTTGATACCGATGACCGATTGCTGCTACTGCTGTTTCACTGGCATTGGTTAAGTTGAGCTCCACATAGATACAGGTGAAGTTTCAACCAGGGCCCTCCACGGGGGGGTGGGGGCGTGCAGGGACCCATGACAAATCCCACCGTGTAGACCCCCCCCCCCTGCCCTGACGCGGGATCCCCCCCAATGTGCGGGGCCCGGGGCAAGTCGCCCCGATTCGCCGTACCCCTAAGGGAGCGGCGCTGGGCGCAGCCCTGCAATTTCTCGCGTCGCTGCTGGCAGAAGGGGCGCCTCATCGAGAGAGAGAGAGAGAAGCCCCTCTGAAGAGTATCTGGTCTACTTCCACGCTGACCAGCCGCCTCGGAAGAGGTTGGAGTAGCCACGCTGTGACTGCACTGCACGATGGCTGCTGATGTAGATGCAGAGCAACGGCTACAATTTCACATTCAGGTGGTCAAGCCAGGTAACCGCGGTCGGGGTCAGCCGGAATAGTGTATCGCTGTGATGTCTCCGTGTTTGTGGATCGGTGGCATTGCGTCGTTATGTGTTGTACGGTCTGTTCTGGATGACCACAGTTGCATATTGGAGACTTGCTGCTGCTGGTCGACTAACTGAAGTGTGTCCATACTGCCGGGTTGACGGAGGCGGGAGGAAATTGACAAACTTGCTCTGTTGTTTTTTTTCTCCCACTGCTGCCGGCGAGAGATCGATTCGAACCGGCGACCTTTTGCATTGCGGGTCCAGTGCGCCGACTACAACACCAGATAAACCGCGTGACTTTTGTAGAAAATGACCCTTCGTCACGCGATCGAGAGACTGCCTGGCAGTACTGTGGCAGGTGTAGTCTGCTTGGGATGAGCGGTGGCAAGGACGCCACAGTGCACCAATGGATTCTTAAATCTATCGGTACAGAGGTTTGTTATCTATCCCCCTTTTGCACATCCGTTTTCAGTTTCCTCCCACGTGAAACCAAACTCTGTATGTGTATGCTGAACTTCTTTCGCACCTCACGTAGCCAAAGTGCTAATCGGATGTGCGGGGGAAGGCCAAACTAAACACAAACGTCCCGACAATTTAGCAGAGACTTTCCTGGGCAAGCAAAGGGTTTTTTTTTTTAACGTACCAAAGCGCAGTGTGTACGTCATTCTCCACCGTTGCGAATGGGAAATGATAATCTCAAACACATTGTTTCTTTTTTTGCAATCTTTAATCATTTGGGCCAACAAATTCCGTGTAAGCGGATTGTGTGAAGTGCAATTTTCGAGTGCTACGGAGATCATTTCGTATTTTTGGCTGCCGGCGTACATCAAGACTGTAAGTAATGAGTGTTAGCCTTCTGTGTTACATCTTCAAATTTTCGGCCCAGAGTAGGAGTGAATAATGCCGCTTGCTTTCACGTACAAAGGACCATGGTGGATTACGTTCCTCGCAGGGTCGTGATGGAAAGGCGGGCGAACGGCTTTTCAGGGAGCTGATCCATTAAACCCTTGTGATTACCCCGAGGTTATTGGGAGGCTCGCGTATGCCGCGACTGAGAAATTATAATAAATATTGGCAGTCGCGCATTGCTATAACGTCACGGCATCCGCTCGCCACCGTCGATGGCAATTCTTTGTTTTGTTTTACCGGGTAAGGCCCACTGAGCTATACAGCTCTTTTAATTCAAAAGCGACCTGGCGATCACACATGATAGCTCAACGAGAAGTGCCTTATCACGGGGACATTTGTTAAGCAGCCAAATACTCCAAACGCATGTTGACTCTAAATGTGGAGGGTCGGGGGGTGGGGTGGAGGCAAACCGCAGGATCCACGGGTCGAACATGCAAACTGCAGATATACAAGAGGCGGGATCAAACCCACGACATCCTGCCTACCAGGGGAGCGAGTTAACATCTCGCCACCGCAAAACCCCGTTGGAAAGGAAGGCGCGCGAGCGACGGTTGTCGCCTCTAATGTCCCGGCAAGTAAAAAAAACTCGGGACACATTGTGAGAGGCGTGGAGATGTACGCGCTCGGAATTCCACTGAGAGACAAAGAGGAACAGCAGCTGGTTTTAGAGAACGTACGCAGGGTAAGGACATTGTTTCAACTATTAAGTGGGTTTGGGGTAGAGGGCATGTCATCGGAAGGCATGATGCCCGAAGAAGAAAAAAAAACAATTATTATAATGGAGTGGCAGCAAAAAGGGTGGACTATGTCAGAGTACATGTCCACCGCAGTGACGTAGCGATTAAATCGGTTGTTGTGCACGTGTGTTAGGTGGAGCATGGCATTGCAGGATGGTGGCGGCTTGGGGAGGAACTCATCCAGCAGTGAATTGACCGATGGTTGATTACGACGACGATGATGATCATGGGAATAATCCTATCTCCGATGAACACATCCGATTAGC